CCAGCTCAGCCCATAGATTTTCCAACTAGTAACAGCTTTGGAACAATTGAATAGTGTATGTTACAAGTTCTGCTCATGCAGACCACAACACTAATATATTATAGACACTTTGATTTTCCTCTTTTGCAGCTGAAGTTTTGTTCCAACAAAGCGAAACCAGGATCTCTATGTAAAGTTTTTTATTTTAATATGAATTTGTAGGCTCCATGTTGATTTCCACACCATCTACATCCGATGAAGATAATTGCTTGAACTAGGTGTCTCTTCCTCATTTCTTGATTGATGCTTTAGAATAGTAGAATACACTTCCTTGATAGAAAAAACACTTTTTTTCCCCAATTCCAGATCAATTTGTCCTTGCAATCTCTAGTGCTCAAATGAATGTTCATAATCACTCCTCAATCATAAGGGTCTCATAATTTATCATATGCGAGAAGTTTTTGTATATTCAAGAATCAAATATCCAAATCAACGTCTCATATATTATGTTATGCAACATGTTTTCGCATAATTTACGACTCGCATATCCAAATCCACCACATAATTTGCCATATGCGAGAAGTTTTCGTATATTCAAGGATCGAATATCCAAATCCGACGTCACATATTTAATGTTATGCGAAATGTTTTCGCATAGGTTACGGCTCGCATATCCAAATTCACTGCATAATTTACCATATGCGAGAAGATTTTGTATATTCAAGAATCGATTATCCAAAGCATATGTCACATATTTTATGTTATGTGACATATTTTTGCATAGTTTACGTCTCGTATATCCATATCCACCACATAATTTACCATATGCATTAACGTTCCCATATTCAATACTCGCATATCCAAATCGAATGTCCATATTTTGTGGTGTGCGACATCTTTTCGCATTGTTAGTGTGTATACTGAAACTTGGCTTTAGATGTTATTCACACAATTTATGTCGAATAAGATTTCATGTTTGATTAAATAAAGTTCTATGTTCTATTTCATTTCATTTAGATAAATGGTTCATCACGGATGGACAGGAAATCATTCATCGGTTACTTGCGAAACATAAACAATTGGTTCACAACCTAGATGGAAATTGAACAAGCCATCAGAACGGTTGTAGTGTGGATAGTACAGTCAGTCTTGACAGATTAGTCACACAAGCACACATCGGTGTATTGAGTGGATCCCAGAGAAAAACAGTTCATTTTATACTGGTCGGCGTAAACGAACTAGGCCTCAGCTAATTACTGCATTTTCTTAACCCATAAGATATAAACAGACACATGTATATGACCAACGTGCTGCAACACCAACATCAATTTAGTCCGCTGCTACATATTGGCCTATATGACTAATGTGCTGCAACACCAACATCAATTTAGCGTAGCCCGACAGCAGGCTCTGAAAACTCTTTTGTCGAACTCCATGGCAGAGGGCACTACCGTAAGGGATCATGTCCTTAGGCTAATGGAGTAGTTCAATGAACTGGAGGTCCTAGGAAGACAAATCGACTGGAAAACCCTGTTTAATATTATCCATAATTAACTGCCTAAGAGTTTCGACTAATTTCACCTGAACTACAACATGAACAAGATGTTGCTGTCATTGGCGGAACTTTTTGGGGAACTCCAAGCGACGGAGAGGCTTCTTCGTCAGAATTCTCAAATGCTTGTGTTCGAGCAGGCTGGTCCTTCAACTTCTAGCCCCAAAAGGTTTAAGAAGACGAGGCAGTTCACTAAGAAGGCTGAGAAAGCGCCAATGCCCACTGTTGCTCCGGCGACTGGACCATCGGGAGTGAAGAAGCCGAAGGATAAATGCCATTGTTGCGGCACTGGAAGGCCAACTGCCCCAAGAAGCACAAGGAAGGTAATTCTTGTTTCTTTTGTTGTACAAACATATTTAGCGGTTGTGTCTGGCAGTACCTGGTCTACACACTGGAGCCACTGATCATGTATGTAATTCCTTGCAGGATTTCCAGAAAACCAAGCGGCTTAAGGAAGAGGAGGTTACCGTCTACATGGATGACGCTACGGAAGTGGTAGCAGTTGCAATGAGAGACGTTACTTTAAATTTTTCTACTAGTAGTTTGGTTTTGAGACATTGGTTATTTGTTCCTTCGTTTAAAAAGAATCTTATTTCAGTTTTTAAACTTGTTATGGATGGTTTTTCGTTTATCTTTAATGACAAGGTTGTTATTCGTTATGTAAAGCATTTCATATGTGTTGGTTCATTAGTAAGCAATTTATATGTTCTTAAACAAACACTCCCACACTGCAACAAAAGGAACTAAATAACACATTGACTAAATCAATAAGAGAAAGGAACCTTCAGAACTGAATCAAGCATATCTCTGGCACCTTAGACTTGGACACATCAACCTTAGTAGGATTCATAGGTTGGTATTTAATGGGTCTTTAGATCCATTAAAAACTACCTACCATACCTACGAGTCTTGCTTAGAAGGTAAGATAGCTAAGTGGTCATTTACGACCAAGGGGTGTAGGCACAAAAATGTGCTAGAACTGATTTATTTCGACTTATATGGCCCTATGTCGATCCAGGCTAGAGGAGGTTTCGAGTATTTTGTCACCTTCATTGATGATTACTGATGATATGGGTACATTTAACTAATGCACCGCAAGTTTGAAATTTTTTAGATTTCTCGAAAGGAGTATTGGACAATTGTGGAGAAGCAACATGGTAAAAGTATCAAGTCACTTCGATCTGATCAAGGAGGCGAATACCTCTTAGGAGAACTTAGGACATATTTGTCGAAGGGTGGGATTGAATCCCAACTCACTGCACCTGCACGCTTAAGCAAAATGGGACGCAGAATGAAGGAATAGAACTCTTTTGGAAATGGTTAGGTTGATGAAGAATTATTCAAATCTTCCTAGATCGTTCTGGAGAATGAGAATTATTCAGAATGGCGTAACATTTCCAGAGGAAATGTTTGAGCTTCCCCTTGACTTTCAACCTCCAACTCCTTCTTCTGGTTTTCTTGTTCAGACATGCATTCCCACTACTTTCAGCTAAGTCTAGTACTCTTAACTTCTACTACATCATGTAAGAGTAGACATTAGCTGCTGAGAATAAAACCTTTACATCAAAGGTCCAAGTCCATTTGTCTGCTAAAGAGGGATCAAGAGTACTGATATTTGTAATATGTTCCTTGTCTTCTTCAACAAACAACTCAGTCAGGGTCTCTTCCTTCTAGTGTCTACCCCATCCTCAATAATTTTTTTCTTTTTTTAAGAATAATATCAACTTGTGTGTTTTTTTTTTTTTAAAGAAATACCCCAGAAGGGTAGGGATTAAGGTTGGACCCCCAACATGTATATAGCCAAGGCCTTAAATATGCTGAAAAATCACAAGTCTACACGGCAAACATCAAACAGAAACAAAAAAAGAAACAAAAAGAGGAAGAAAACAACAACCAAAGCGAAGGATCACTCCATAACTTGATGGACCATCGATCTCTAATTTGCACACTAGAGTCCTTTTGAAACTCATCTCTTACTCTGAGCCAGTTATTCCACAACTAAGATGCACTACTGGTTACGTTTCCTTAAAAAAGAGACCCTTGAGGAAAATATTTATCTTTGAGAAATTGGCTCACCAACAAATCAGATTTCGTAGCCACTCTTCATAATTGTTTCAGGATAAATGCGTCATTGAAGAGACAAATGTCTTGAAATACCAACCTTCCTTCTTCTATTGGTACAGTCATTGTTCTCCAAGCTTTCCAGGGCATCTCCTATTTTTTATCTTCTCCTTTACACCACCAAAAAGATGCACACAACTTTGAAATATCCTGGAAAACTCGTCTAGGTAGACAAAAGCATGACATAATGAAGATGGGTAAAACATTGATAATTGATTTTATAAGTACTTCTTTGTCACTATTTGATAAAAACCTATTTTTACAGCTTATTATTTATTCCTTAGAACATTCACTACAAAATCAAGGCATTATTTTTCGGATTTTCCAATACCAAGAGGTAAACCTAGATATTTGGTAGATCTTTGAATATGAATCCCATCTAAAACTTGACATGTTCTGCCTGGGTATCCAAAGAGGTATTTCTGCTTAAAAACACAGAAGACTTTCCAATATTCACTTTCTGGCCTATGAACATTTGATATCTATGCAGCATGTAACGGACAGTCAAAGTTTGAGATCTGTCATCCGTACTAAAATCAAAGCCTCCTCTGCAAACAACAAATGAGTGAATTGAGGCCCAACTTTTGAAATTTCCATCCCCGTAAAATGGCCTCTTTCAACTTCAAGAGTTTAAAATTCTAGTAAACATCCCAAAAACTACAATGAAAAGGTAAGAGGATAATGGATCTCCCTGCATAGTTTCCCCTGAGGCCTTCACATAACCTTTCACTTCTCCATTCAAGTTAAAATAAAAAGAGGGATTAGAAATGCAAGCTAGAATCCATTTAGTAAAGGTGATGTGGAAGCCCAATTTAATCAAAATTTTCTTAATACAATTCCACTGTACCGTATCATAAGCTTTTTCCATATCTACCTTGACTGTCATATGACATGACTTGCCTGATTTGTGCCTATCATCAGAAAATGCACAGCTTACTGGGCTATGACATTGCCTAAGAGTTTTCTGTCAGGTATGAAGGCTGATTGGTTAACATTCACATAATGGTGAAGATAGGTTTTTAGTCTAGATCGTTTAGTTAACGAGTTGAATATAGTGTAGTTCGTTAAAGTTAGAAAAAAATAATTTTAGTTAAAGCTAGAAAAAAATATTTTTATGTAATTTTTTATATTTTTGCTCATTCATGTCAAATTCAACTGATTCATATTTATAAATAATCAAATTCTAGCTAATTTATCGGTTCAATAACTAAGTTCAACTCGATAAAGGCTCGAGTTGAGCGGAGCCCGGCTAGTTTACGCCCGAACATATTATGGTGAATGTTGAGCGGAGCTCGGCTATTTATTTAGAGGAAAATTTTATGGTGAATGTTCAAACCACAGGTGTGGTGTGAAGTAGAACTATACGAGGGTTTCTTTTGTCATTACACACCTAAGAGCAACAGTGCAACTTTATTCGTTGTCGCTCTCCGTCCCTCTCAAAAACCCCCAAATCCTGACACCCATTCTCTCACATTCGCTGTAAGGCAAATTAGGGTTACGCCTCGGATCCGACCGTCGCCGATGGCCGATATTCTAAACGCCTCCGAGGAGGACCTCGACCGTCGCCGAGAAGAAAACACCAGCACCGACAAGGCCTCCGTCGCCGCGCCTGTCGACGCTGGTCCCGACGCCGCATCGCCGCCCCTCCCTCCGCCACCGCCGCCGCGAAGAGGCGTCCGAGACCGTGGGCGCGAATCCAGAGAGCGTCGTGACGACAGGGACTTTGACCGGCCCCCTCGGCGTGAGTACTATGACCGGAATCGATCCCCGCCTCCACCGCCGCCACGAGAGAGGGACTATCACAAGCGCGGCAGGCTGAGCCCCAGCCCTCCGCCTCCCCCTTACAGAGACCGACGTGGAGGGGGCCCGCATTCTCCGCCTCCAAGGAGATCGCCCCCGTTTCCTCCATACAAGAGAAGGAGGGACGATGTTTATGATGGAAGGAGGGGAAGTCCCAGAGGAGGGCGTGGGCCAGGGGACCGAAGGTGAGCATTCGATATGGTTTGTTAGCACAGTGGCTTCTGCTTGTTACTTTCCTGCTACTTGAGTAGTTGCCAAATTGTAGCTCGGTTCGAGGCTTTTATTACAGATTGAACAATTGATTTGTGATGAGCTACCTATCTAGGCATCAAATTTATTAATGATTTTTGTATCTACCTGTGCATCGTTTTGTATTGTGTGTGTGTGTGTGTGTCCGTGGTTTGATTGTATGTATACTTCTAAATCAACATGCCATCATTATCTTGTTTGCACAAAAACTGCCAGTCTCGTGAAGTCCATAGAGGTTATAGAGAGCCTGTATACATGGAATTTTTGGCACAAGATGATGCAATTTCTTTGCCCACTGACCTTAATTTTGGAACTCCCATTTAAAAGGCAGATGGATCTCCAAGCACGATTTTTATCAACATTTTATATGGCTAAACTGTCTAACACAAAATATCAGCCGTGACTTCAGATTTTGACCTACTTGTCGGTATTAGCATCTCAATTGAACGTCACTTGCAATATATGAGGCATATACTGATTTAGGTTACCTGCACTTATCTACATTTGTGGCTTGTATAAATACATTTTCAAGTATGTAGATTCACCTCATTGCATTTGTTTATCCAAGCCCTACCTCCTGCTAAATTGCATCACTTCTTGACTTGATTCTTTTTTGGTCCCTTCTTAATTTCGACAGTTTGCACCAGGCCTTTATTTTGGTCCCCAGTAGGCTGTAATAATTTTCAATATCCCTTTTTTTTTTCTCTGTCCAGATTTGGGTATGATTATCCTGGTGGATACGAGCGTGAGACTGGAGGCAGATATCATGCTGAAAGGCCTCATGGTCGCTACATGGGCCGTGGTGGCTATCAAGGTGGTCCATCTGGTAATCTTGTAGAACTTGCTTTTATACCATTTCTGAATGATTTAGCAGTTTGTAATGTATTTTCTGCTTAGATATTTGATACTCGATCAATTTNNTTTTGCAAGTCGACTATAGAACTTAGCATGCGAACGTGTTTTCTGCTTCCCATTCTGATAGCATATGAACTGGTGTAGAAGCTTTAATCATTGCATCCATGGTTCCAATCTTTAAGTGTCCAGCTATGTTGTTAATCTAAAACACTTGGATTTCTTTGGTGGTTTCTTGTGTCATTATAGCTTTAAATCAGTTGTATAGCCGTTCCTTGTTGTGGTTTAATTACCATTTTCCTTCTGCTCTCCCTTTGCAGAATGGGGTTCTGGTCGTGGTGGTTTTGCTGACGCTTTTAACGTGGGACGAATGCAAAGGTGCATATCATTCTAAGTTATAATTCCTAATGTCGTGTGTACACTTTCCATTTGGTCCACATTTGACATGTTCGAACTAGCACCTTCAGTTATTGTGTCATTTTTTGTCATTCCTTATGCTTCACTGTAAATTCAGTAGTATGTAGGTTGGTGTTGTCTATGGATTTGCCCTACTTGTCACATGTCATTTCTGATCACTTTTGAATATTACAAAATGATGCTTTGGATGATGAAACTGCCAAATGTCTCATGAGAGGTGATGGATAGAATGCTAGGACAAATGCATGACTTTGTTCTGTTTTATTTATAGTTAGACCTTTTATTGCTGTCGATGCTCAGTTGAGCTTGTTGGAACCTGTGGTATCTTTTGGACCCAGCATCTTGTGTTTCTCCTTGTGTTTGTTTTGTCATGTGAATCTGCATATTTATCAATTGTCTAGTTTTAGCACTGGGTTTCATTTAATATTTTTGCTATGTTGCATCTATATTGAGAGTTATTCATGTAGTTTGTTGTTTTTATGTAGGGAAGGAATGATGTCTTATAAGCAGTTCATTCAGGAGCTTGAAGATGATATATTACCAGCTGAAGCAGAGCGCAGGTTGGATAAAAAAATATTTTAATGTTCATCCCTTTAACCTTGCTTGAGTTGCTTCTTTATGCACTGTGCACACTTTTCTTACTTTACTTTACTTTTTTTTTCCTTCCTCCACCACCCCCGCCCCCGAACCTTGTGTTCCTTTCCATTATATTGTCATTTTACTATTTACTAACTGCCTGAGCTTGATCAGGTACCAAGAGTACAGGACAGAGTATATATCGACCCAGAAAAAAACTTATTTTAATGCCCATAAGGATGAGGAGTGGTACACTTTTTATCTTTATGTTCATTCCTTGTTTAAGTTTATATTTTGCCTACATTTACTTTATATGAGCTTGTTAAATTTTTTCAGGTTAAAAGACAAGTATCATCCTACAAATTTGATTGCTGTTATTGAACGGTAAGCATATCATGGTTATTTGGTGGGAATTTGCATGAGTCAGATCACCAATCTATTATCAATAAGCAACGTGGGGAATTACCCTCTCCTAACATCTTTTTGCTCCACCCCTCATTTGATGCTGTTGAATGGCATTACAATGGTCTTTCCAGGAGGAATGAACTTGCAAGGAAATTAGCAAAGGACTTTCAACTTGACTTGCAGAGTGGGACTTTGGATGTGTAAGAGCTATTCCCAAAATATCTGGTTTCATTTCTATTATTCTCATCATAATAATAACCTGATGTTGTTCTGTATGCAAAACAGAGGTCCCAGTTTTAGTACTTCATCAAACAAAGCTGAAGAGCCAGGTGAGCCTAATTCGGAAGACGAACCAGATGCCGCTGGTAAACAAAGGCGGCCTGGTCGTGCAGGTGCCAAAGAACCTGATAGTTTGTCTGCCCCAAAGGCCCACCCCATATGTACTGAGCCCAGACGAATTCTAATCGATATCGAACAAGCTCAGGATCTTGTACGGAAACTCGACACTGAGAAGGGAATCGAGGATAATGTCTTGTGCAGAGCTGATAACAGCAGAACAGGCAGAGATAAGTCGCATGGGAGTTCGAGTGGTCCTGTTGTCATCATACGTGGACTGAATACAATCAAAGGCCTCGAGGGTACCGAGCTTCTGGACACCATTCTCACTTATCTTTGGCGCGTTCACGGGGTCGACTATTATGGGCTGGTTGAATCGAATGAGGCGAAAGGCCTACGTCATGTGAGGCTGGAAGGCAAGATTTCCGAGAGTGCCGTTAACGGTAGTGAGTGGGAAAAGAAATTAGATTCCCGGTGGCAGGAGAGGCTGAAGGGTTCGGATCCTTTGGAGATTATGACTGGGAAGGAGAAGATAGATGCAGCTGCTGCTGAAGGTTTGGACCCATACGTCCGCAAAATCAGAGATGAGAAATACGGGTGGAAGTATGGGTGTGGGGCAAAAGGCTGTACGAAGCTTTTCCATGCTGCTGAGTTTGTTCACAAGCATTTGAAGTTGAAACACCCGGAGCTTGTGACGGAACTCACATCGAAACTGTGTGAGGAGCTGTATTTTCAGAACTACATGAAGTGAGTAAGCTGTTGTGGAAAATGTTTGATGCCATTTTTTGGATTGCTAGGTGTGTATATAAACTGTGTTGTATATTGCAGTGATCAAAATGCACCTGGAGGGATGCCCATCATGCAGCCGTCCTTGGTATGTCTTATTGTTTATTATTTTTTTTATTTTTTTTTATTTTTTTTTGTCTTGAATTATCTTACATATTGGCTTCTGTGTACAGAAGGAGAAGTCGCAGAGACGAAGGCCTGGCATGGATAATAGATTAAAAGATGAAAGGGGAAACACTTGGGAAAGGGATGGTCGTGCCAATAGCAACGGACGATTTGATAGGTCCGAAAATCCTCAGTCTGGTGATTTCGCCAATGGCAATGGGGACAATGCAGATGAGTCTATGTTTGATTCGTTTGGTGGGCAAGGTATTCCAGTTGCGGCCTTCCCTTCGGATATAGCTCCCCCTTTGCTGATGCCTGTTCCTGGTGCTGGGTAAATCTGTTGCTCTGTTCTCCCTTTATCCAGAATGTCATCATAATTGTGAAGCGCACCAATTTCAAAGTTAATTACTAACCATATGCAGCTATTGTTTCGTACTGGGTATTGAAATTGTTCTTCTATTGTTTTGTATTTGGGCTTTCAATTAATATCTACACACTCGCACAACTCACCTTGGGAAATCTTGTCACCTTTGTAATTAATAGTCTATTTTTCTCATGAAAAGGGGTTATATATTAGAAACACAATCTTATCATGTTATCCATCCATATTCTTATAATAATATATGCATGTTAAGTGTTCCCTATCTCATAATGTACATTTTTTTCCCTTGCACATGTGTGTAGATGTGAATTGATGTTCATAATATCTCAATGTATTTAAGAAAGTACCTTCATTGCTTAAGATGCAATTAACCAGCAGCTAGTCAGCTTTTTATGCAATTAGTGTTTCGACGGATTGATTGAATATTATTTGGTCAACTGATGATGACAGTCCACTGGGGCCTTTTGTTCCTGCCCCTCCTGAAGTTGCAATGCAAATGTTGCGGGACCAAGGAGGTCCGGGCCCATTTGAAGGCGGCAGATCGGGACCCCCATTAAGTGGATCGTCTTCAATAATTGCCTTGCCGTCCACTCTTCGACAGGATCCTCGGCGTTTGCGTAGGTCAGTACTTTGTTTTCGACCCTTTTAATTTTTATTTATCTGGAGCTTCTTAATTTATTTGTTCCAGACATAATCTTCCATCAAAAGTAGATACTGCTGGAAACAATGCTAGTAGAAAATTGGTAACATACTGTATAAGCCACACTTTAAATACTTTAATCTGCACGTAATCCATCTATAACCCATTTTTATCATGACTGCTAATACATGTGTTGGGAATTAAATTCTGACCTGGATTTTAACAACCCTGCAGTTATAATGACCTAGATGCTCCAGATGATGAAGTCACTGTGATAGACTACCGGAGTTTATAGGAGATTGGTCCAATTAGAAACGAGAGCTCCCTTTTTTTCTCTATTAAGTGCAGGTACAAAAGCAGCAGATTTTGTGGTCCATATAGATGCAATGCTGGTCAAGCTAACTCAGTTTTCTGTTACTTTATTGTGATATTACGTAAGTATGCAGCCAGATATGTAGAGAACTTGGAAACTCTGGGTGGGGTTGAAAAATTCTGGATGCCTCTTACACGGTCAGAGGGGTGTTGGCATTGACTATTATCAGCAAAATTCTGGATGCCTCTTACACGGTCAGAGGGGTGTTGGGCATTGACTATTTATCAGCTAGGCAGACAAGGGGAGGATTGTTTTAAACTAAGCTCGTACTAATTACTTTGTTAGTGTATTTGGCTGCATATGTTTGTGCTATAATTTATTTTTCCAGTTGTCAAGAGAGAAAAATGTTCGATTTTGTCTTCCCAGGCTCCATTATAATGGAAACAATGCTGTTTAATAGACTTTATAGACACTTTGAGTTCTGATGAAAGAAATGTGATGTTTCTGGCTAATGTTAGACGCTGCTTGTTTAGATTGTTTTGGAGTTTATTTTTAATGTAAGAATTGTTCTTCCAGTGGATTATCATGTACATCAAGATTGATTTGTGGTGGATCTTCATATTCTTCAATTATATTGCTCTTTGAGAGTTGTTNTAAATTATTTAATTATAATTTTAGAATAATTGTAATCGTTTGAGTACTGTATACATTGGAAAAATGTCGCCAGTGTCACCAGAAGATCCCAGCTCATGTAACTACAGTAGTTGCTTTTGTTCTTATCACATTTACAGTCTCACAGCACCACAGTAACATGTAGGATAAGATTTTCCAGGGACCAAAAATGCGTTAAGATTTCACTACTAATTTGAATGATGACCTGGAAGTTTCATTTAGGTCATTTGAAGAACAATGTCAGGTCCTAGTCTATTCTATAAGATTTATCCTTCTACATGAGATATGATGCCATTTTTTATTTTGCATGACAAGTGAATGCAAGAATGAGTTGCAAAAAATGGCAGCATTTGAACTGATGAACAATGCTCCTTTCACACCCGAGCTCAACTAAAACTAAGTCGCACCCTTGGAAAATATGGGGCACTGCAGACTCTTCGCTCACAGAAGTATCCAAGTAATTTAATTGACATTCACCACCACAATAAAACTACAACGCTTTTGGTATTTTTTTACCAATAGAAGCTGGAAAAACCACCTTCATTTTTGTTCTTTCTAAAAGTTCGCAGGAGCTCCCGAAGCTCAGAAGGTCAAGAAAGTAACACATCTTGCGACTGCTATACAACTCGGTTTTCTGAATAGACAGTACGCACATGTCGGCCCCAATTTTCTTACATCTTACAGAGCAGCATTTTTCACCATCTTTTCCCCATCTGATCTAAACTGATTAATACTATGCAGTTATATGAGTAACCTAAACAAATAAAATCATCCAATCTCTATGTCATGTATTTAAAATTTTCCCTCTTTTCTTTTGCCTGTTTTCTCCACTATTCTCACCATATGCATCAGAACCATGTTTCATTCTGTCCTTTCTTTTTAAATTCCTTCAACTACTATTTAATGCTAAAAAGTACCACATCGGCACATCCGTTATTCCTTCGCTTAGAAAAGCAGATTTCTCGAAACCCTGCGTCGTCTCAAACTTTCCGACATTTCAAACCTTGTAGTTAATGAAATTCAATTTCATTGCATTATCCATCTTCCTATAGATCATTCTTTTGCTCTGCAGGTATTCAAGTGTGTAGACATTTCATAGAACAGGATGCTACAACACTACATACTACACCGAAATTGATGAAAATGAACATAACACAATAAACATACGACAGTAATCAGAGCAAAAAAGTACGATCCTCCAACCGGAAGAGTGGAATATAGAAATTCATAACCACCAGACTGAAAACCCGAAAGTTCAGGCCCGAATCCATCAATCACCATTACTCTCCCACATACAATAGTTACAAAACTCAGTGACACACAATCAAAAATATTATGCCAATTTTCATTATTTGTCAAGAGACCCAAAAAAGACATGAACAACTCACAAAAAGAGTTAACACTCTACTCTCTTGCATGCCTATGTACACAGACACTATCTCATCAACTTCCCTTCCCACTCTTAAAATTCAAATTAATCCAATGCACC